CAAACGGTTTGTTTCAGACTTGATACGAGACGAGTACCTGTCGGATGTTCGTCTATGTACGTTTAACTGTCAATAGCATAAACCGATTTTTTTGGTTTGCTACGAAATACTGGAATATTGCCAGATAGATGGCTCAAAGTTATAATTAATCTAATAATCAAACAGGTAAATGCAGATTTGCGCACATTCCACCACATTCAGACAACTCACATATCTCATTCTATGGATGGAACAATATGTAATCAGGGTATCATATCTTATTCTATGGATGGAACGATATGTAGTCAGGGTATCATATCTCATTCTATGGATGGAACAATATGTAATCAGGGTTTCATATCTCATTCTATGGATGGAACGATATGTAATCAGGGTTTCCTATCTCATTCTATGGATGGAACAATATGTAATCAGGGTATCATATCTCATTCTATGGATGGAACAATATGTAATCAGGGTATCATATCTCATTCTATGGATGGAACAATATGTAATCAGGGTATCATATCTCATTCTATGGATGGAACAATATGTAATCAGGGTATCATATCTCATTCTATGGATGGAACAATATGTAATCAGGGTTTCCTATCTCATTCTATGGATGGAACGATATGTAGTCAGGGTATCATATCTCATTCTATGGATGGAACAATATGTAATCAGGGTTTCCTATCTCATTCTATGGATGGAACGATATGTAATCAGGGTTTCCTATCTCATTCTATGGATGGAACAATATGTAATCAGGGTATCATATCTCATTCTATGGATGGAACAATATGTAATCAGGGTAACATATCTCATTCTATAGATGTAACAATATGTAACCAGGGTATGATATCTCATTCTATGGATGTAACAATATGTAATCAGGGTATCATATCTCATTCTATGGATGGAACAATATGTAATCAGGGTATCATATCTCATTCTATGGATGGAACAATATGTAATCCGGGTATGATATCTCATTCTATAGATGGAACAATATGTAATCAGGGTTTCCTATCTCATTCTATGGATGGAACGATATGTAATCAGGGTTTCCTATCTCATTCTATGGATGGAACAATATGTAATCAGGGTATCATATCTCATTCTATGGATGGAACAATATGTAATCAGGGTATCATATCTCATTCTATAGATGTAACAATATGTAACCAGGGTATGATATCTCATTCTATGGATGTAACAATATGTAATCAGGTTATCATATCTCATTCTATGGATGGAACAATATGTAATCAGGGTATCATATCTCATTCTATGGATGGAACAATATGTAATCCGGGTATGATATCTCATTCTATGGATGGAACAATATGTAATCAGGGTATCATATCTCATTCTATGGATGGAACAATATGTAATCAGGGTTTCCTATCTCATTCTATGGATGGAACAATATGTAATCAGGGTTTCCTATCTCATTCTATGGATGGAACACTATGTAACCAGGGTTTCCTATCTCATTCTATGGATGGAACAATATGTAATCAGGGTATCATATCTCATTCTATGGATGGAACAATATGTAATCAGGGTTTCCTATCTCATTCTATGGATGGAACACTATGTAACCAGGGTTTCCTATCTCATTCTATGGATGGAACAATATGTAATCAGGGTATCATATCTCATTCTATGGATGGAACACTATGTAATCAGGGTATCATATCTCATTCTATAGATGTAACAATATGTAACCAGGGTATGATATCTCATTCTATGGATGGAACAATATGTAATCAGGGTATCATATCTCATTCTATGGATGGAACAATATGTAATCAGGGTATCATATCTCATTGTATGGATGGAACACTATGTAACCAGGGTATGATATCTCATTCTATGGATGGAACAATATGAAATCAGGGTATCATATCTCATTCTATGGATGGAACAATATGTAATCAGGGTATCATATCTCATTCTATGGATGGAACAATATGTAATCAGGGTTTCCTATCTCATTCTATGGATGGAACACTATGTAACCAGGGTATCATATCTCATTCTATGGATGGAACGATATGTAATCAGGGTTTCCTATCTCATTCTATGGATGGAACACTATGTGATCAGGGTATCATATCTCGGCCGTATTGTGCTACTTCTGTTCTGTAGTAGGTTTGACCACATCACGAGTACACTTCCAAATACCTGAGTCTGACGTTTATATATGTTATGTATTAGGAACATCACAAGCACCGTTGAAGTACAGGTGAAAAGAATGTACACATTTACATTCTCACTGACTCGTGCAGCTCAGTACAGAACAATAAGCCAAGACAACAGGGATGTAACAGGTCTTAAGCTATGAGTGCTCGTTTCAAGAAGCGACTGTGCTTATTGTAACAGGCCGTCAATATTATCTGAAGGTAAGGCAGGCTGTCTAAGGTAATGAATGTCATGGCCCCCTCAACAGCGTAGATTTATGTTCATGATGTCAGTCACTGGTTGACAACTACCAAATCTCTTGAGTAATGCTAAGGGCTGCGTTGAATAAAAAACAAAGATTCTCATTAAATTACGATATCAATATACATATAGGTGCACTGCATACGTAAGGCCATCTCTGTGAAGTAGATCTGAAAGTAATATGCCGCCAGGCATCTAAACAGAAGTAAACGAACAGCCCCACATTTTAAACAGCGTATATTTAACAATGCTAACAACATAAGTGAGAAAATATATTAATGTTCAACCAAGGAGACCGGTAAGCATCTCTCTACACAAACATAATTACACAGTAAACGAGACAGCAGTCCGATCACATAGTACGTCAGCCAAGCAACCCACCAAACCAGCCACTGCAGGGTTCAGCACAGTACGAACACCAACGCTATCTCTGGGGTTGAACTATTTCGCTTCTCAGCAATTAAACGAGAGGTCATTTCAGGGTTGTGGAACATATTATGCAGATGCGAAAGTGCTTCCCTGCCCCACGTGATTTCTATCCGATGCCCCCACTCTTAGCCCATTGTACCCCACACAGGGTTACAAACCTGGTTCTTTGGCGTAACAAGACATCGCTTTAACCATTTGGCTACCGCTTCGACCATACGTTTGAAATATTGATCACACAGGACTGATAAGTAACTTATATGGTGAAATCCTTTGTTCAGTCAAATGGTTTACGACCTTTTTTTAATCGTCAGAGGACAGACTTGTTTAAAGGGATATGAAGTGGTTTGTTCACCGCTCAAGCGTCGAAGAGAGTACTGCGTAAGGCCGAGAAACATGCTGCAGTTATATATAGACCACAGCAAGCACGTCTGACAGGTACACAGAACATGGAGGATGTATTTGTGAATCTGCTGATCCCAGGACAGACTTGACATGAAATCATGTATCTCTGCTTTCGATAGTGTATGGTACTGTACCCATTGCCAAATGATTGTTTCAATCAGGAATTGATTTTCAAATGCAAATGTACAACTGTTAAGGAGCCCGATGTAAAATAACACCCATCAAATCAAATCACACAATTCACATTGAAATAGGCTCTTGAGATACCCCACTGTGTATACTTTCATCCATGTATGAGTGTTGATTTAGCTTAAGGTTATGTACTATTGTGAATTCCCTTTTCAAAACACTTACTGTACTGGTATATGTTCATAATATGGCCATGCGCATTCACTCGACAAGTCGATAACACCTCCATTCCTCACGCACCTAGAGCTTGCAGTATTCGTGATTATCGTGATCTCAACAGGCACACAGTCGGTCTGAGCCCACTCTTACACACGCTGTTGATTAGATTACACTTCACGGCAACACACATATTTAATACGATCTTCCCTGTTGGAATTTCAAATATATCTTCCTCGAGAACTTATTGAATGGGGAAATCAAACTTGCATCCTTGGTTGAGTGAACATCATCGGGTGGAGCGTTGTTCATTATTTCAATCACGTGTTGCGTTGTTCATTATTTCAATCACTTGTTGCGTTGTTCATTATTTCAATCACTTGTTGCGTTGTTCATTATTTCAATCACGTGTTGCGTTGTTCATTATTTCAATCACTTGTTGCGTTGTTTATTATTTCATTATAATTACACACACGCCCAGTATGGGTTAACCTTCGACAGCATGTTTCGATCTACGGATTCCAATATTGTTGTTGGTTGAAGTAATTTCCCCATCGGCGTTGGCAACAATCACTTACTTTCATCGCGTGAGTGACAGGCGTTGGTGGACAAGATGACGTCACTGATTTCCAGTGACCCACGCAAATAATAGCGATCACACTTGTGTTGCGGGACAAATCGAGACTGACTTTGTCATTTGATATTATATCTTCCTACAACCACAACCGTGAAGGCCCGGGTTAGAATTGTTCTTCAGCAACCCATGCTTGTCGTATGAGGCAAATAACGAGTTCGGGTGGTCAGGCACGTTGACTCGGTTAACACGTCATCATATCTCAATTACGTAGATCGATGCTCATGATGTTGATCACCTGATTGTCTGGTCCAGACTCGATTATTTACAATTATACTGTCGAGTGTTAACCCATACCGTTCGTGATCAAGCCAGCTACGGAACACATGCCCCAGTGACAATCTTCTACAGCACGGGTGGAGGTTGTGGAGGGGTATGTAGCAGTAGATATAGTTAGCAGTGTTTAACAGTAGCTCTACTACGATTGTCAAAGGATACGTCACCGTGTATTGGCCATCATCCCAAGTGACTTCTGAATGTTGACAAGTCTTAAAGTCACATCACTACTGTATGTTATTGACACATGTAAATCATGTTAGAACAGAATTGACATTGACGATACACGCTAAGGTTCAAGTGGATTTGTATGATTTGGTTACATGCACGGCAAACATATCCTTATCACTTAATCTGATGCAATTACAGGTGTGTAAACTTGCATGAAGTGTGAGCAGCGATACCTATACCTGTATGGCCTTCAACTGCTCGTGACTCGGGTTAAAGCTGTACACAACAACTTCCTGGTTTCAGACAATATCACGTTGCGGGTAGGCTGATACACATAGCCTGATGCTGATAAGCGACCCTGGTGTTACAAGGGACTCCAAACTATGGACGGTCACTGTGTGGAGTTATTGCGACTTGTACACAACCTGGTTTACCTTGTTCCACGGGAGAGATTTGTGATGTACAGGACACGTTCATGTGATACGTGTGATGCGTGAAGTGTGAGAAGAGTGGCCCCGGAGTACCGGAGCTGCGTGGATAGATGGACACGCAAGAGGAGTGTATTTTCATGTGATGTTCGTAAACAGCTACTATACAGCCATGTATCGGATATATCTACTCCTGTTTCTGTTACTCGGTGGCCGCTCACATCAGGCAGGTGGGTATTTGTGTAACACGTCACTGCTCACGTCTCCTTTCTCAAAGTATGATTACATCACGATTATTTTCGTACAAAAATTGTACAGAAGCTCTACTTGTGACTACAGTCCAGAATGTTCTTTCCCAGGAATATAACGATGTCTCATGTCGACACAAACCATCTCCTTAGGAATTGGGTGGTGTTTTTATACCGAATGGTGTAATTCATATTGGATCCGATTTTCGGAAAAGTATGTGTACTTGTATATAGTCGGAAATACTGGACAGTTTTCTCGGGGCATAATTTGAAATCGTGAAAACTAGAAACATTTAAACACACACAAAAGATAGAAAATCCCAAACAGCTTTTTCTCAACCAAAAACTATTACATGTGCAAAGGTCAAATGCTCTAATGCAAGGTGTGTTTCGCCACGGAGTCACAGGTAGTCAAATCATCCTTCGTTCATCAAAATGGGTGAGTTGTTGTCTCTTGGAAGCTCTCATGCTGATATATTGACACACCTGTCACCCCTTCAACCACACCCCTCTCCCATTAAAAAATTGAAGGGGGTGACAACCATTATTCGCATGAGTATATATTAAACTAGATGGTTCGGTTATAACTTAAAAACAAACCAAAAATATTGGCCAAACGCAAATTGTTTCCCGAATCATTTCTTTAATTATTTGTGCATGTATTTAAATGCGATTACCCGATATTTCTCCCTTTTCCCAAACTGTGTGTACGCTACCTTTCACCGAGGCTGAAATCGCTCACCGAGGCTGAAATCGCTGAAACACAGCTGAACAACAACAATACAAACAAACAAGAACAACCATTTATCTTATTTAAGTTGTTAGTCGCCCTTTACTTCACAGTGCGCTTACACAGTCTTTCGCTTTCAGAGCATTTTCGTATGTTTTTCTCTGGATTGATATGGCGGAGGATGGAACAACTAGCCTTGCATTTCCCAGGAGACGTTCTATTTACTTGACCGGACGGTTCCTAGTCTTTTTTGCCCTCATGTCATTTTGTTGGAAATACAAAATAAATTTCAAATTATTTATACCAATTTTGTCCATGAACGTTCACCATCACCATTACTAAAGGTTGCAGTCGTCAGATTAATTATAAAGCGATGCGTGCTGTGCTGAAGTATATCATTGCATAAATTGCATTTAGTTGAACCGCTTTGTCGGGGTTATAGCTTGGTTGATATCATATTATATCTTCAGTTGTATCTTGGGTTATATCAAGGCTATCAACGGTTATGGTTAAGGAAATTTTGAACTGATGTTGGCCTCAGTTAGTTTCGATAAAGTAGACGAAGTTGTTATCTGTCTTCTATGTGGCAGTTTCTGTTAGGTTCTCTAAACTGGAAGAATGTATAAAATCATTCGGATCTCAATCATTACAGACACAGCTCTATCTATCTGTCTGTAATATATCTATCTATATATCTATCATTAGTTACCAACAAATAGTTATTGTTTATGATTGAGAAGATATTTTTATTATATACCCATGTAAACCTAGGATAGTAATACAGGGGTGCAATACGTATGACGTGGTCAAATTCCGTATTCGAAGATTCGAAGATGTCATGGGAACAGAGAAACAACTAGAGTTGTTTTCTGCTCCCATGACATCTTCTCGTTCAATACAAAACATCCAAATACACTAGTATGACGTTCTATATATATATTCCTCTACAAAGTGTGGAAATCTATGTAGAAACTTACATGACTGGAGTTTAATTGTGAAGTTGTTCCGTTTGTATATGTTATCAGGTTCTTTAGTCCTGACAAGTTCCCCCATGACAGTGACAGACGAAGAACTGTTCACCCTGATCTGCAGCAGAAACACAACTAGGGGACAAGACAGACAGTGGAAGAGAGATGATACAGTAGTCTTCTACACAACACAAGGTTCCACCAGTCCCACTGTAGCCAACCCTGACATCTTCAACAGGTATCTGTCAGGTCGTGTCAATGTGAGCTGTGATGCCACACAACACAATGTGACTCTCAGGATCAACTCCGCCGTAGACAATGGATCCAGGTGGCAGTGTGTGGATAATGTCGCCAGTCAGACGAGCAATACGATGACGATATGTGAGGCATCGTTAACCATCATTTGTTTTTACTGATTTTCAGTTATCCTCCACAAAGTTCCCGTACTTGGCTCTCTTATTTGAATAGGTGAATGACTATAAGTACAAATAGTTCATCAGCGTCATGGTATGAGTCACTAGTAATTAAAATCTGCAAATGTTGGTATTTTCATATGGCGTGATGGCCATTTCCTTATCAAAACGACGTTTATTATTTATGAATTGTAAATTATGTGATAAATGTATTTTCATAAATGCCTTTCATATTCAAATGCTATGCAAAAGTCTACATCGAGAACACATAGAAAAAGCAACATCGGTAATTATATTCCTTGTCTTTGAAATGGAAGTGTTGATGCAATAAGACAACAACATGCTGCAGATGTTACAGTGCCCCAATCAACAGTAACCGCAACACCAACTCATTCGGCTTCAGTCACAACACCGAGAGCCACAGATATAACCGGATCCACAGGTAATAGATGAATGTTTGTGAAAGCAACCAACACATAAACTGTAGTGATACGTGTGGTGTTCCGTCTTCGCTAGCTGCTGACCCATAGTTCATATTTATAATGTAGATATAGCACGAGCCAAATTTAAACGTTAGATATCACTATTAAACTATGTCTGTGATCTTACTGCCTTTTGTCCACTCTTTCTGTTATAGTTGATGTATGTTAATGTATATTGAAATATTACCGATATGACTTAATCTTAACTTGCTCATGTGACACGCAACAAAGTGAAATCACAATCCAGTAGATATATTTATCCTGTTGTTAAATCTAGTGTGTCAGGCCGGGTAGAAATTTAACAACTACGAGTCGTATGTCTATATTGTGTTGTACAATGGCAACACCTCTCCAACAATGCAAGGACATTTTGTCTGAAATGAATGCTCCTCGCATTAAAAGCCAAACGCTACGTTCAAAATTCAATTTATTGAAGTTAGGAGAGTCGATCAAAAAGTACGTAGCCTAACTACATTCTCGATGTCCAGTGTTTGTAAAGCTTCCATTTTATTTTAAAGGAATCGTTAGCAAAGCCATATCCAAACGTTACATATGTGGGTAGTGTGGTTAACCAGATATTCGTCATCACAACACATTGGGGTAAAATATTTCTAACAAAATTGCAGAAAATGAAAAACGATTTGTCTTTTGGTACCTCTTGGATAATGGTATGCCCTCAGATACTCTCATATAAAATATGTTCAGTATAGTATTGGATGACTTCCAGTCATGATCAACAGGGGCTCAAATGGGGCTATTTTTTAAGGACATCCCCATTTTAATCTTTTAAAAACATTGTTTCCAGATATTCAAGCTGACACTGTTTACAATATATTGTGAGCTGACACTTGTGTTACCATTCAGTATTTAGTATGAACCCTTGGCATCATGTATGCATACGTGAAAACATTAGAATCAGCTATGCCCTCATGATTACGTCATCTGAAAAGGGGGATGGGGGTGGGTAGTGTCTCCAAAACAACCTCTTTGAGTCAACATGAATGGGGGAGTCACTTTAATAAGCGATTGTAATTTCAAATTGCTTTTTCATGAACTTTAATATATAAATGTGATTCTAGGGGACTTCTATCAATCTCAAACACATAAAATATTTCTTGCATATTTTGTTTTCTGAGGTTTTTGATGCATTTATTGTAGATTTTCCGTTTTTGAGGGTACTAAGAGAAAGGTCAAAAAAAATGGGATCGGGAGACTGGAACATAACAAACCAACTTTGCTTGAGCTTATATATGACAGATAATATGTAGAAAAATAAAAGATAAAATAACTGCATTTGTATCATTTTCTTTGGTGATTCTACATACTACATTTGATCGCACCTCGTAAATCTATTGATAACCTAGCTCTACACTGAATGCACGGGACATCTATCTATTATCTCCTTTCGGTGTTACTAAATCCATCTGGTATGTCATTAATATATACACATACAATTGTCCTAGTATTTTGTTAATCTAACTTCAATAAAGCTGCCAAGTACGTTTATAGGTACAAGATGTAAAGTGATAACATTTCTGTATACAAAGGCCTTTGTACATTTAGCACTTATTGCTCCTTTTCTTTTAATTCAGAAATGTAATGACAATCAATTGTACATACAAAGAAAGAAAGTTTGCAGTGTAACATTTGCTACAGTGTTCAATAGTTTGTTTTCATTGCCTTTTCATTTTGTTATAAAATGCACAAAGAGGGACAAAGTCGTCAGTGTAATTCATTGTTCACAAGCTTTCGAGCATGTTTTTGACGTGACCATTAGTTATATAAATCCAACATTTTTATCTGGTTTCAGTTAGAATGTTAGGTCATCATATACTTACAACATGCATGGAAGTTGCAGATGTATGTAGTACCAATTCTAGCATGATTTCTGAGAGTACTGGATTGTGATTGGTTAATTAAGTCACTCTGAGGTATATAATTACGTTATATACCACCGATGTATGTAATTTTTTAACATTTTAATAACGCGGTTATGGTAGAATGGAAATAAACATGTTACGCGTTAAGGCTTTACATCAAATTAAGAGCTATTGTAATTTCGTTATATACGTTTTTTCCAACACAGTATGTTTATTTCCTAATTAGTCCATGTCCCTTGTGACAGACAACGGTTGTGGCTGAGATTAGTAACAATAATGTGACAAAACGGACATTAATGCTGCTTCAGATGTTAATGTGTCAGAGACGCCTACTTCCCCATTGTCGAAGCATCCTACTACAATATCAACCACCACCAAGAACAGCACCAAAGGAAACCCAACAACAACGTCTGGTTACACAGCTGGTGAGTCAGCAGGTAATTCACACAAACAATCTTCACCGTTAAATCCCCAACAAGGTGTAATTACCTGACACACATCACCTGATAAGGTTGTAAATCCCTTAACACTACAATTACTAAGATGGGAACATATTTCTATAGACGAAAGCCATATTTCAGTTAACATTATTTCATTTGTTACTTGTGTTAGACACTATTATATACATCTCATCGAGTGAAGTCTGAAAGCCATATTTTCACGAGTTGAGACAAAACGGTCAAAAAAGTATGTTTAGCTTTCACGAGGCAAGATATAGATCGTATTTGACAAACGGCACTACATATGGAACAGACTACATATTATACAAAGAAATAGACTATGCATTATATGAATAATGACGCCAAAATGTTCCTTTAAGAAAAGTTGCAATACATGTTATCAACGTGTGTATACTATAGTTCCTCGTTCAGGCTTAGCAAGTGAAAGACACGCAACACGCAGAATTATGTTTTAAATTTTTTGGAAGGACACGGAACTGTACACACAAGTATTGAAAGATAATCCGTCAAAGTCGTTGTGCCAACGTAAATACATTAATACATGTAAACAACACCGCGGCAATCACTACAAAGATCAGTTGTTTATTCATTCATTCATTCATTCATATACTCAGTTTTTCTGAATAATACTGTAAACGTTGGCGCACACTGGTGTAATACCCACTTTTTATCAGAGAACACTTCCCGTAAGAAAGCTGTGAAAGCCGTAGCGGAACAGACAATTTGTGCACTTGGGACCTAAATGTGCCCAGTTTACTGCTTGGTGTCAAATATACCTTACCATAGGTATAATATCAATAAGTCAATAGTACCATGAAACGTTATCACCCAGTCTTTCATACGTCCAGGCCATCCTACTACAATATCAACCACCACCACCAACAACACCAAAGGAAACCCAATAACAACGTCTGGTTACACAGCTGGTGAGTCCAACACCATTGCCATCGCCGCTGGAGCAGCTGGAGGAGGTGTTGCTGTCATCGCTGTTGTCATCGTCGCAGCTATTTGTATCAGAAAAAGACGTCGCTCTCTTGAAGGTAATGCTTGGGATAATGTCCGAGTTATAACAACTCATGACGCTGTGAGGCCAATTTAAATCATTCATGATGAAGTGTTATCTAACTGTATCATCGTTGAAAGGTTGTCCTCCCACATGGAGCTGACAAGCAGTTACATCTGAATTATCGTTAAAAACAAATCATGAGTCAGTCGGTCACCAACTAATATTTGTATTCTTCTTCCAGAAGATGTCAGGGATAAAAGTCGACGCGATAGAAACCCTTCCAGGAGGTGCGTCTGTGTCTGTAACATTCATAATAATAGCCATTTCCTTTAACCGCCCCTCTTGAAATCACAGGTTTGAGGCTAACTTGTCCCAGTGTATGTCCCTAACATTGGGAAAGAGAAGATTTCCACTGTGATTAGAGCCACATTCAAATAGCAGATGTGACTGCAACAGAACAGATGAGGCTATATATATTGAGGGAAATAAATAAGGGAACATCACTTCATGGCAGTGTTGCCTCATTCATGGTAAAGAAGGTAATTAACCTGTTTATGTTTACAGATGTTGATTATGGCCATTAGTGTATTTTCCCGTCACGAGACCATTTCAATCCTATTTTGGCTGTTTAATTTTAGTGCTGAAATGCTGATTGAAAGTGGAGTAACTGAAGGGGACGAAAAAGGCAAGTTACTGAACCTTTGTCCTAAATGATGGAGACATTTATGTAGGAGTGAAATATTGTGAATGCATTATTAACTTCAAACACATCAACATATTCAAAAAACGTATTATCAATTGTGGCATTTACAAACCCTCCATATCTGTAATAATGATAAAATGTTATTTTTATTTTACATGTGAATAAATCTGGGGACATTTATTTTTTGCATATTTCAGTCATGATGGACAACATAATATACACCAGTTCGTGTGACGTAGTGCCGGTTGAATACAGTATACATGATCACGATCAAGCCGATAAAGGTAACGAAAATGACTGCATTACATAGGTGAATTGTTCTATGAGAATCATTAGTTTTACAAAGTACAGAATATGTGCTACTATTAAACCTTTACATATTCTTGTTTCCTGTTTATCACGAGCATATTATTTATAGATAACAGAACGTTTCCCTTGAAGATTCAACACACATGAAATGTTTCAGTTTGCATATGGAACAGACATTGTTCCTCTCATAGATAACTGTTAGCTTAATATCCCCTTTGTTTCGAGGTTCCAATAATGGCTAGGTTTCTTAGCAGTATACTTCGTTAATTGTTGACTAGGGGGGTGGTGATTAAAGGATGCGGATACATATAAATTTATTCATTATATGCATATTTCAGTCATGCAGGACAATATTTTGTACACCAGTTCATCGGATATAGAACCGGCTAATTACAGTATTGAGGATCAGAATCATGTTGGTAAAGGTCACAATTACGACATTTCTGAAGATTCCAGTTGGAGTCACTTGTCTGATATAGGAGTGAGAATGCTAACTATGGTGTGATCCTATCGTGTTTGGAATATTAGATTTACGTCAAATGAAATTTCACATAACTGCATGAATTTCTCAACAATTTACAAGATCCAATAGTCTTCACGATTTAAAAGTGTTATCAAAGGCATCAGTTTTAGCGCACACAATCTACTTCTACAAGATCCAACACGTACGAATGTGTATAAGTTTATATTCATGTGTGTGTGTGTGCGTGCGCGCGCGGGTGTAATTTGCCTATGAGACCTTACTTCACCAAACTGCATTGCCAAGGAACAACTACCAAACTCACTGTGAGCTCCTCTGCATGAATGATACTGCATCAGGTAGATGTTCTGCTGTTGGCAGATGTCTACACCCAGGTGAAGAAGGTGAAGACGAATGCAGACACACATGTAGTTACTGACGTGTACGCAAAACCGCACAAAGGACGGCAGGAAACACCAAATGGAGGTAAGTGTGCCAGATGCTGTTGGTAGTTCGAAGAGAAATCTGTAAAAGTGTAGCAGTATGACTCATGCTTTCATCAACTATCAGCTTAACAGTCAAATGTCTGAACGTGTACAAGAAACCAAACAAATGTCTGACGCCAGTCTGTAAATAATGGTGTCTGGAAGAGAGAGTCGAGTGATCAACAGCATGAGCATTTCTCTACATAACTGGGATACGATGGCATGTGTTAACCGAGTCAGCGAGTCTGACCACCTGACAACGTAGTCGCATGGTTTGCTGAAGACCGGTTCTAGCCCGTATCTGCACTGGCCCAAACAAAGGAGATGAGGAAGTTCCAATACAGATATGTATTTTTCGTTTGTAAAGCAGATCGGACGAAAACTCTGTAAATACGCTTGAGAGTGACGAAAGCACGAGTATGCTTCCTTGAATGGACAAATGGCTGAGCAAAAAAACATTACATCTAGCCAGGCGCAACTTGCAAGTTCTATCGCAAACGTGTTTATTTGAAACTTTATAACGTAATGTTGATCGTGTTTGATTGATTGATTTCATACATCATCTGGAAGGAACTGTCATTATCATCATGTAGTTAGACAGCAGTTGCCATGTTGTCAAAGTTCAGTTCTATAGTCACAGAACCCGAGATCATCCACGTAGATGTTCCTGGATTGACGAGGATGATATCTATTTTTTCTGGAGTAAATATACCCATCCATCAATAAATGTTCCAGTATTGTGTCTGCACAACTACATGACCCTATTATTCAGCCATAGAGTAAATAGGACAACAAGTCATTCGTATTATTGATAGGAGGAAGAATATTGATGTATTAATAGTGTCATATTATCTTTGAAGATGTGTATGCCAAAGTGAATAAAGTAAAGAGCAGAGAAGGAACAAGTGAGAATATTGAAGACATGTACGCCAAACCACAGAAAGGCAAACGGAATCTGAAGAGCAATCCAGGTATGATCGTTTTGGTATTTGTTGTAGGTGTAATGAGTGAAAGAAATAGTGTAGAACTGACCGTATGCCCAGCAGTCAACTCTGACACCAACTCCTGAATACATATACAACCAACTTTTCCTAAATCCGCATGATGCATTATGTGATGACATTCAGCAATAATGCCTCAGTCAATATTTTTTTCAGATGCTGAATGATGTTCCATGAAATAAGTCTTCTGAGACATGCTAAATGAATATCGGTGTTCGTGCTCCACGCTATTGTCATGATGCCCTCAACAACCCAGTGAACACTTTCACGCTGTCACAATGTTCTGCTTTCGTTGTTACAACGTTATTCTGTATACTCCAATTTACGTTGCCACAACGCTGTGGTCTGACGTTGTGATAAAGTGTATTGAGTTATTGGATGCTAGTGTATTTGACGTTGTCCATTAAAACATTCTGCATAACGTAAATGGTTGAATAGCTTTCCCAGTAGCGAACAGTACATAAGAAACAAAGCAGAAATTCACTTCAATGTTTATTCGTCAATTTGGAAGTTGTTTTCTGAAGCTGTAGCTGAATAGCGAAGAAGGAATCTCAAATTGAAACGTTTTACAGAAAACTCCATGGCACCACATTATAAGAAACGTTATTATAACGTTGTGAGGAACCCAAAGTATAATGTTTCCTCAACGTAAATTTGCAACGTTGTTATTACGCTGTGACATAACTTTATAAAACGACGTAATACTAACGTAGTGACAACGTTGTGTCATGACCTTACCAATCTACAACCTTCCCACAACGTTGTGAAAATGCTGTGTGTTACCTGGGAATTCTTTATTCATATTATTCAAATTAAAAAAATACATGCAAAATAATTTATGTTTATTAATGCTTCAACAACGTCGTATTTAATAGGGGCAATATTTTCCGAGACCAAGACCAAGTTATATACTTGATTCCTTTGCAATTGCGCTATACGTATCTGTACATTGTACCGCTTTTGCCTCATGGATGGAAGAATACCATGGGCGTAGAGCTTAAAATATACTCCTCAGAATAAATGTAAGCAACAAGTATATTCAGTGTAATATTATTATCACCAAAAATTAAGCAACAAGTATTTTCAGTGTAATATCTTTATCAATATCGATAGCGACTTTTGCCGACATGTTACTGAAAGGTAAATAGTCAAAGAATACATAACCACCCTCAGAAACAACATGCAAAATGTGTGGCATGAATGTGCTCCACTCTTCACACATGCACCCTGATCGGTGGAAACCTACCTGTAATCATTCCTCTGGCACAACAAGGGGTCCTCACTTTATTTTTATGGATGAAAATGCCCATCCATTGATGATAAAGCCTGAGAAAGAGTTGTTAACGATGTTGTTTAGATCAACATCACACATATGGACTGGCCTGTAAGGCCACTTGATCTCAATCCCATTGAACATGCTTGGGACATTATTGGACGTCTTGTTTACGGTCTCCATGTTCGTCCCAGACTCTGGATGACATTGAGAGAATGGCAGAACATTCCACAACAGCAATTTTAAAGGCTCATTTGGTCAATGCAAAGATGTGCAGACGCTTGCATTTGTGCTCAATGTAGTCATACGCGTTACTGAACACTGCTTCACTGTCCAAAACTGACTTGAACCTTAATGTTACGTTTTGATCCATCAATGCAGCACATTTTGCACGACTGTTTCACGGGTACATGCCTTTGATAATTTGTAAGTCTATTATTGCTCAATACCATTTCATTTTGTTAATCCTGTGTACATATGTTTCACCTTTCTATTGCATCATTCCATTATTTGCAATTTCAACAAATTAAAATGTAATGAGATTAAAAAGTTGTGTTGCTTTAATTTGTGTGAGAAGTATACATATCTATAAGAAGTGATATTATCACACGACGTGCTTCTTTTCTCCGTTTTTGCTGCTCCTCTTGGAAGTATATGCTTTGTGACAAAATGGGGTACACCCGGGTGATATACATTTCATAAACGAATGTCCCCTATTCAATTATCACATCTGCACTGGTAGTGGTTTTCCAGAAACTAGCTGTATGTATACATACTGTTGTGCGTCGATAAGGACTATTTCACACAGTTAAATAGTTCTAAACTGTTTCCAGTATTGTTCTGTATTTAACGAATACAGCAATATTGATAATCTGCTCAGTACAACATAGATGGATGCTGATGATATCAATCACTGATTCTCTAGTCGAGAGTCTATGATGCATAGCCTGTCGGTAAAAAGCTGAGCGATTGCTGAGTTTACAAAAAAAACATAAACAAATGGGGAAGTATCCACAACTTAATAACACGTTTAAGCATCTTGACACTTGTCTTCTGGTCGTCCCTTTCTTACATGTTCTCACAACGCACTCTGCATCATCTGACAGAAAATATATAGATCACCATGGTGATCTCAGCTGATGTTGGAAAACTTCTACTTTTGAAACAAGGAAGCAACAACAAATCCCAAAAAGTAGAACACCCGTCAATACTGGAATATTTCAGACTTGAACAACACGCAGTCAAACAAAGAGCAACACAAGGCATGGTATATTACAAGTCACACTAACACAAACATCAACAGTGCACTGGACTAATGCTTAGTTTGTAATATGTATGTAATTCCGATACAAATAAATTACTCCATTTAAATTTAAAAAGTGTCGCACTGAACTCATAGATTCCTAAAATTGAGGAAATGTAGACTTGATTCATATAGAATTTTGCATTTTGCTGGTGGAAGGTAAAAAAAGTGCTTCTGTGTAGGAACAGTGAGACAGACTAACAGCTCACATGTTGAAAGGAGTCGTCTATCACTCAACATGCAACTTATCGCTAGCTAACTATCCAACGCTTGTGTCATAATCTATTACAACGGCCTACTGATAACATAATGACTTAGTGCAGGTGACATAACTTCCTTGTTATATTTGTTCAGATAATGCAGAAGAAATCACGCTCAACTATCAAGGTTTTCCACATTAAGTGTTACGCCCGTTGCACACACTTCCTGGTCCGTGTAAATGATTGTTCAACACACGATCTACAATAGGATTTACTTCCTGGTATCACTTAGACTATAGTCCGTTTGGCTGAAAAGCGGACCGATGAATTGCAATCTATCTCGAAAACTAACAAATATATAATACCCAATGAAACGCTGATAATAATCTAAACATCAGACTAACTCTGTGAGTTTTTCGTAGAATTTATGTCATAAAAATTAAAACCTTGGATAGCAAACTAGATTGCGATTCATCGGTCCGCTTTTGAGGCAAACAGACTATAATGCACCTACAATTGTTGGACACGTGAGCCAATGGTTTGTTTTAATGCCGCTTTGGTCAGTATTTTTAACAAATATCTGTCATTGTGAAGCAACACAACTAGTGATAAAATTTTAACATAAATTTTATTACACGAAATGCCCATCCCTCCAATATTACACGCAGCATAGTTGTCTCCTATACATCCATATAATAGTAATATACAACATGCACAATGCAAGATAATAACAATCTAGGAAAAGAGTGAACAGAGCAAGAATGAAAACGTGACGTCACGAGAGTGTGACGTCACCGGTGTAATAGTACACGTTGGCGCTTAACATGACAACTATTTTAACAAATATCTGTCATTGTGAAGCAACACAACTAGTGTTACAATTTTAACATAAATTTTATTACACGAAATGCCCAACTACTGAGTGCAAAGAATAAAATAAAATACACTGGAAAAGCTTGTAATAAAAAAACACAGTAATATACCTCGCAACACTAACATGCTCATGATGGCCAAGGGAAGATAACAAGTAACCTACTCCTGTGAAGCTCACATAAAATATAGCATAGTGATTCACAATAACATGAATGTAGTCAAATCATGAGCACGTTTAAACATGACTCAAGGTATACACAACGCTGATAATCTCAACATTTTAATTTGTATAACAATAACCATGTTTAACAGTAACATATTCCTCCCAAAACAATAGAGGGTAAACTATGATAAAACAGTGACCACACCCTGTGGTACCTTAGTATGGACGTAATTGTCCTGAATTCACGAGAATACACTGGGCAGATATGATGTGTAATTATAGCATGACCAGAAATTATTGAGAATTTTAGGAATATGTTTAATTGGATTTCTAGTATAAACAACCTTGACCAGCTATCAAGTGCTTGGTTTCATTCATAAGAGACGACGCCGTTAATCCTTTTTCATTAGTTTGTGAAGAGTTATCCCCCCTTTGTTTACTTGCTAGCAGACGACATTTTCAGTGATCCTCAGTATGGATGATTTAGAGAAGAGGAAGTTGATTTTAGAGTATTATAACAAGGACATCAGATCAGCTAAAGTGATCTCAAGTAGAACAGGCTTCCCTTTGTCCACTGTTTATCGTGTTTTGAGAAATATTGCAAATGGATATGGTATTGAGCACCAGGGAGGCGCAGGTAGGCCCAGAAAATTGACTGTCGGTGACAGGAGGGGGGCTTGGTATTCTTGTTTCTAAATACAAACGAAGGAGTTTAGAAAACTTAAGGCTGGGTATTTTTGATAGAGGAACTGTGGCTGTCTGTAAGGGGACAATTAGAACTGAGCTGCATGCAATGGGTTGGCAGAAAAGTCGAGGATTACCATCACCGATCATGAAACCTGAACAAAAGGAGCGAAGGTTGAACTGGTGCTTACAGCATATAAATTTTAACTGGGACAATGCGATTTTCTCAGATGAAAGTTCTGTGTGGCTGTTTCCTAATACACTGAAATTCTGGACCAAACATACTGAAAAACCTTTGTATCAGAGCCCAAAGTACAGTCCGAAATTTAACGTATTGAGTGGCATATCTATGTTAGGGGCAACGCCCTTCTGTGTAATTGAAGGAAATATGAACAGTGAGCGGTACACAGATATTCTCGAGGGACATTTACTTCCATCTGCTCACGTGCTCTATGGACATTTTTGTATTTTCCAGCAGGACAACGACCGAAAACATCGTTCGAAGCATTCACAGGCCTGGTTTCGGACCAGAAATATGACATTATTAGATTGGCCAAGCTATAGCCCTGACCCAATTACAATAGAAAATGTTTGGAGACTTATGAAGGAAAGTGTCAATAAGAAAAATCTGACAAAAATTGCTAAAATGAAAGAGGTGGTCCGATATTGGGACAGCATGGACCACGACTTTCTAACTTTTGATCAGTAGTATGCCCCGCCGCATTGAAGTCTGCATTGCTGCAAATGGTGACTTGACAAAATACTAACTGTTCACCTGTCTTTGAATCTGGAGTTATGTTCTGCTAATATTCACATTTAATACGTGAGTAATGAGTGAAAAAAATATAAAAAATTACAATCTTAAAATCTCAATAATTTCTGGTTGTACTTAAGAACACCTCAGAACTCTTCCATCGTCCAATTGTTTGAACAGTCTTAGGATCAACACCCTTCTCTATTGCATGTGTTGCACCTGTTGGCCGATAGGATTTTGCAGAAAAGTCATGACCACTAAACCATCCAACTGAAACCATCCAACTGAAATACTCAGTCTTCCAACTTTTTACGATCAATAACAACGAAGGGCACGCACAGGGTCCATCTTAGTATCTGAGTGTCTCTGAAGTTCAACGGTAAAACCTGCTTTACTAATGTCATTTTTTATTCCATGCAACTTTATCTTGGCTGTGCCCTCATCTGAAAACACAATGTCACTTGTAGATAGAACCATAGGTGTTTCAGAATGTGAAACAGGGTCAAACAGCATCCCCTTGGGAGCAATATCAGACGGTCTCAACATCAGTGTTAGCGCCATCAGACAAATGGTCTTAAGTCTCAAGTCGTTTATGGATAATTGTTCATTATTGTCCATACCTGAAAACAAGGCACAAAATGCTTCAACAGGCATTATTGAAGAGTATTTCATAGGTTCACAAGCACCAGATTTAACCAGGGTGGTAACTAACCATCTA